CTCTCTCTCTCTCTCTCTCTCTCTCTCTCTCTCTCTCTCTCTCTCTCTCTCTCTCTCTCTCTCGCGAAAATCGAAGAATCGTTTGCAAAGTTTCTCAAACAGAAATTGCGACATTATACAGAAGAATATTCTGCTGACAGGGTCTCAAGATACGAAAGCAGAGGAGTACGGGGGATTTGGAGAAGCGCGGTACCGGTGGTAGTATCAGGAGTAATGCCAGCTCGGCGTCGTGGATGTCAACCGAGAGCTCGCAAAGTCAAGCCTCGGCGTCGGTTCACACAGACAGTAATGCGTCCTTTGTCATCGAGGTAGGTCTTGGTACTTGGTACGGTTTTCCAGCTTCTTCTTTTCCGGAGGACAAATCTTTAATCGGATTTTAATTTCATTTCCCCACGCCAGCCGTCAAATCCGCTTATACCGATGCTTTCACGAGACGTGTAACGTGTTTATTGTGAAGTTAATTCGCAATGTAGTTGAAGTAATTAAAATAATTGGAATTGTCAACATAACGCATAAACGTTAACGATAAGACGTCGGTTTGCAGGACGAACAGATGGATGCGTCGGTAACCGAGACCTATCTGGGCGAATGGAAAAACGACAAGAGAACCGGCTTTGGCATATCCGAGAGGAGCGACGGGTTGCGATATGAAGGCGAATGGTTCAACAATCGCAAGTACGGCTACGGCGTCACCACGCTCCGTGACGGCAGCAAGGAGGAGGGAAAGTACAAGAACAACGTGCTCATCACCAGCCAAAAAAAGAAGCATCTCTTCCTGATCAGGTCCGCCAAGTTTCGCGAGAGGATAGAGGCAGCGGTGAACGCAGCTCAACGGGCGAGCAAGATCGCCCTGCAAAAGGCCGACATCGCTATCTCCAGGACGGCGACGGCGCGGGGAAAGGCGGAGCTGGCCGACATCGCCGCGGAACACGCTAGAGAGGACTCCGAGTTGGCCCAGCAAACGGCGAGACAGTTCGCTCCGGACTTCCGGCAGCCGGGCTTGGAAAGATTGCGGAACAGAGAGATACCCAAGTACGTGCCGCCACCGCAGGACTCGGTGCCGGGCAAGAGTATTCTGCACAAGGCGGCTAGCGTAGACCAGCCCGGCGGCGCCACGCCGATCAAGAGCGTCTCGTCGACCGTCGACTTCACAACGACGACGACAACGACAATGACGAACGCGACGCCAGCGTCCGCGGCGAACAACACCGTCGGCAACGTGATGCAGTCGATACGCAGGCCCAGTATGAAGCCGCTGCCGCAGAATCAGCTGCCGCCCATGCAAAACCAGATACCGAATCAAGTGCCGCTGACGAACCAGCAGGCGACCATGAACCAGCTGAACGCGCAGCAGACGTCGCTAACCGCTCAGAATCCGTACCAGCAGTATTCGTATCAGCAGCACAACGTATCGCAGAATCCGGCTCCGATGGGCCAATACCCGAACAGTATATCGAATCAATACCAACCGAATCAGTACAGTCAGCAGCATCAGTTCGTGCAGAACAGTCCGTACCAGTATCAGTCGACTAATCCATCTCAGGTTGAGCAATATCCTAGTTATCAGCAGCCACAGCAACAACAACAACAACAACAACAACAGCAACAAACTATGGGGTCGCATGACTTCCAAAATTTGCAGGCTTATCCCAGTCAGCAGGTTCGCAATGTTGCCCCTCCCACCCTCTTGTCTTTCTTTGGCTCTCTCTCGTACGCAGCTTTCCACGTTTCGCAATTCGATTCACTCGTTGCAATTTACTGAGCTTACGCTTTTGTGTGCTTAGACCGTGTTTCTCTTTTTGTTTCTTCTCTAGATCTTATGTTCGCAATCATTGATTATGTATGATCCCGTGACATTCGCCCAAATGAATCAATTTGGAGCGCAGATGTATAGTGTAAGCAACTCAACAAATTTTTGCGTGCGAGTTTAATTTGACTTGGCGAGCTTAATATGCGCATAGCGATACTAATGACTACTTATTGACAACTCTCGGTCTTTAAATTAAATTCTTTTACGTCCGTCCTGTTTCCGAGTGATGAGTTGAATTTACGTATGAGTAACGCTTTCTAAATAGTGAAGATTAGGATTTAATGGCCAAGTTGGAGACCCACTATTTCTTTTTTCAATCAAGGACTCGATTAATCGTTATTCTCATCCGATGAGCCTGCAAAATTTTGGTAACCCCTAACAATGCACATCGTATGCTGGAACAAATACAGGATTCTTCGACAATCTCCGATTAATCCAGTTATTCGCTGAGAACTCTCTAATTGCTTATCTCAGCAATATTTTAAAAATGCCAAATACTATAATTTCTTTGGGAAGAAAACAAAAAACTTTTAGATATGACACATTCATGTATTTGTTCTGCGATTAAAATAGCTGATAGTTTCTCGCGAGGAATCTTTACAGTAACGTAAATTAATTTCAGACGGCAATACCCAATCAATATGGACTTGGCCAGACGAATCAGTACAATTCGCAATCGATGTACGCGCAGCAACAAACGCACCCCTCGCAACAATACCAGCCTGATAGTATCATGGATGCAGCGAGACCACCGAGCTCCACGAGTTTACGAAGAAACAGTAGAGTCCTGAGTCCTCAAGACCGACCTGGCACGATCGGTCAAACGCTAAACGACAGGTTCGTTATATATTTCTTCTCACAACACGTGACAATCTAAAAAATTTTTGACATTTGATAGCTTTCTTGAGATTATATTTCAAAGGAATCAAATGCTGCACTAAAAAATATTTTATAAAAATTTTCAGAAATTTTTTTAAAACTTGTTTCAAAATTACGTGACACGTTTAAACAATTATTTGACAATAGGTTGGATCATTACAAGAGGCCACCTAGTCGCGACAGTTCCGTAGATCGTTATGGCAGAGCGCATTCTCGATTGACTGGATCGAGACAACCATCTGTCGACAAAACCATATCGAACCCATCCTCGGACATGCTCGACAGGTGAGTAATATCCGAATCGACACAATATCCGATTGACATTCAAAAGCATTTGTTTTTTTTCTTGCCGCCTGAAATCATTTACGCGCGATAGTTCGCGGTAGGAGGATTTAAATTTAGAATTGTGCTCAGAAATCTGTGGGGTATCTCTTTTTAGAAAACCGCGGATAACCCTGGTCTGGTTCGTTGAAAATAATCGTTTTGCAATCGACAGGTCGACAAGAGCCCCGAGTGCGATACGAGGAGGGACGCCGCTGAACGGTTCCGTGATAGGCAGCGGCGCCGCGACGCCGACGTACGTGGCACCAACTCCCAGTCAGTTCGAGGGGGCTCTTATAAAAAATCGTGGCCTTGGACAGGACATTCTGCCGAGTCCTGGGCAGCCTAAACGCACCGAGAGCCTCTACGTGGCTCAGACTCGTGGACCGTCCGGTGGTGGCGGCGGCGGCGGCGGCGGCGGCGGCGGCGGCGGCGGCGGTGGCGGCATTGTTCCGAAGGTGAGTCCTTATTTTCTCACGCGTTTGCTCCTTACCATTTTAAACATATACATATATATATATATATATATGTGTACAAATATACATATATATGTACATCCATATGTATATACAGACATACCCTCAACGCGTGCGTATATACGTGCACTCATACATTTGTCCTATGCACCGAAGACGTCTTGGCACTTACGTCACCCTCCTCGAAAAAGAAGTTGTAAATGTACCGTACCAGTTCTGATGTCCGTTTCTAAAGAGCTTCAGCTAATTTTTGTCCCTCAATATTGTACTCGAATCTTGTTTTAATATTCATAGATATATTTATGATTCGAGTCAGATGGACATTTCCATAAAATTCTGATATCTCGCGTATTGACGTCATCGAAGCATCAGACAGCATTTTTAAATTATATTCATCCTATGTAAATATTATTATTCATTGTATTTGAACCGTGCGTTGTGCCGACATTTCCAAAGAAATAACGCTCCCACAGGTCGCTTTTCAATACGATTTCCCGCTGATCATTCACTTTGAACGAATCGCAATGTTCATTTTTCGAATGAATTTCGATTTCCCACGCGGATGAATTTGTTTGTTGATTTCAATTTCTCGCGAATTACAAAGATTCGGGGAAAAATAATATAATTCGGCGAAGCGATTTATTTGGCGTTCACTCTGCCAAGAAACGAAACGGGACGCTTTTCCAAGACCAACATCGGAAATAACTTCGACGTTCATTATATGTTAAACAAGATAACAATCGTTCGACATTACGGTGATTCTTAAGAAAGTATCGCACGAAAGTATCGTATACGTCGGACGATATTAAAAAATTTTTTCTTCGCAGCAGAATACGAGAGATGAGAGACTATAAAATTAACAGAATTTATCCACACAGAAGTAGCCTGTTGGAAATTTCAATTAAAAGTAATTTTTTTCATTATTTTTCCTTTTTATTTAACATTGTTGAAAAATTTAATAAGCGATGATTAATATAATTTCCGCAAATTATGAACAATACTCTTTGCCAGTTATGAATAATAATGCGATTATTCATAATGTCCGGCGGACATTATAATCACGGATGATTAGAAATTAAAATGGTATTAAAAATATGCATTAATCTCGTACGTTATTCTGCTGCGAATTGCAGACGAACAGTTTCCGGAATTGTTTTCATAAGTCCAATCGTATCTCGCTCATGTTTATATACTGCAATTTTTTTCATTACGAAATATATTTCTTGCACCTCGCCTGCGTTCTCGACGCACCCCCATTTTTTCCCCGTTTTATCTCGTTCAGATTTTTTCTCACACTCGCCTTTCTTATTTAGCCGACCTTACCTATTTGTATCTCTTCTTTTCTCTTCTCTGTCTCTATTTGTCTCTCTGTGTAACTGTGTGGCGTTTTGTGCTGTGTTCTGTGCATGCCATCCCAGGAAGCAGGCCGGACGGTCCCCGCCTTCACCGCAACGTCAAAGGGCCGCGCAACCCTATGAGTATAAGTATAAAATATGTATAAAGAGCGATGTTATGCTATAGCCGTTGGCAAGAAAGAGCGCAGCTTTCGAGAGGCTCGCGTCGCGTCGCATTTCGAGCAGAGTCGGAAAAACGAAAAATCCGCGCAAATTCCAATCGCCGTTTTTTCCGCCCAGGCGCGCCCCGGCGTCGAGCAGTCCAGAATGAATCAAGTTCCGATAACCAACTTGTCTCGGGGCAGTTTTGAATGCGAGCATTGACGATATTTTTCTATGAATTTACGAGTACCCGATATTACCTGAACCAACAAAGACGCGGTTGTACGGCTTGAAGTTAAGTCGCCGAGTAGTTAATGCAGCTGCCATAGCAGACTCGCGGACAGAGTCGACTCGTTCGGCTCTCGTTGAACTCGCTGGATTTTCGCAGTTTACAGTATATTCGCTTGAAAACGTGGGACGGGGTTTCCAGAGCGGGGCCTTATATGAAAGTGAAAGAATTTTCTAGTAACGAGCAATTTTTCGTGAAAAATTTTGATCCTACCAATTGTGGAGTATAACGCTTGACAGGAGGAGGAGACACTTGTACCTGGTTATAGCTTATCGCTATTAGCTGTTAACTTCGCCGCGACATGTAACAAAGAACAATAAAGACGCTCATCGATAGTAATCGCGGTTGAGGAAAGCGCATTCGAAATGCGAGCAAATGGATATTTATGGGAGACAGACTTATTTTTCTATGGAAACACTGCGAGCCTATGTGAGTGACATGGATTTGTCCACTCGTGCGAACAATCTAGAGTTATCGTCAATTTTTGATTATCGATGTTGATCCTGGAATAAAACCGTGACCGGCGTTCAGCAACGGCATGTACGACCGATACGTCGTAGTTGCGTAGTTCCAGAGTGCAGAAAGATAGTACGCTCCGTTTAATCCGCTGCAATAGATATCGTCTCGCCGATAACGATAAAGAGACCGTGAATTTATTCCAGGATTAAACGAACGATGATCGAAACGTAGAGCAAGAAACGGTAGAGCTTAAAGATTTCCGAGGTATCCTAGATCGTGTTTCGTCTTGATCGCGCGAAAGAGGATCGCTGCTCGCTTTGGAAAACGTTATTGAGAAACGGAATATGTGCTACGGGCGAGTTGCGGATTTCGCAAACCGAAACCTTGGGAAAACATAGATTGGCAACGACGACGTCGTCTCGTTGTATCAATTCGAGATACGATCTATTGCGCTCGTTGGGTAACATGCGAGATCACCGACGGACCAGTTCAACGAACAATAATGTAGCACTGTGTACAGTTCCTTTCAGCAAGGGAGAAGAAGTAACTAAACAACTAAATGCCCTCCGATTTATTTTTTTCCTCTCGGTACATCATCATATGTCAAATAAGATTATCAATTCGGAGGGAGTTAATTCGCGAGAATATATAAACTACATTTACACGAGCATAAACGGAGATGTCCTGTGTATGTGTATACAATGTATGTATATGTATATGTATAGAGATATTTGCACAAACCCGACTGTGTCGAATCGGAGTAATGTGCGAGTTGTGGCTCTCCACTTTGTAAAGCGGCTGGAAAAAAAGAAGTGAAACGAATCCTTGTTCACGATTCTTCTACATTACGTGTGACATTCCGTTTCTCTTTTTTTCTCTGCGACCAGCTAATCGAATCGAATATTAGGCAATCTATATTAATTGCATGCGCACATACATATGTATATACAAGTGTAAACACGTGCGCGAAGCTGAGCTGAGCTAAAGTCAGCGCACGCTTGTTACATCCATTAAGTGAGCTAATTAGCGGACTTAAGGTAAGCCTAGCGCGCGGCGTGGAGGCGGGGACCATATTTTTGCTCTTCCATTCTATTTTATTAACTTCTTCTTTAATCATATTTTAAGCCTCTTTCGACCCTTCTTCCAAACCCTCACTCGCTAGCCATCTCTCCTAGATTATTCGCCTAGGTTACTCGACCGATCAATCTGTATTTCTCGGATACCGCTCTAGTTGAGTTTCGCCTTGCTGCGACTTACAGACTTTCAACCCGAATGGTCTCACATTCGATCTATCAAATATTCGTATCGCTATATTACAGAAAAGTAGATTGCTTATTAATTGTATCGACTATGCGTCGAGAAATGCGCAAACGTCCATACGAGCTTTACGAGATTATTTTCTTTTTATTTTCCACTACCTCCACGCCGCTTCTTTTTTCTGTTTTCTGATTGGAGACGTTGTTTTTCTAACGCATGCTTGTCGTCAACTCGAGTTTATATATATCGGCGCCGTGTGCACAGACAAGGACTTGTTAAAATGAAAGTAAATCGCGGAAGAGAGACGTTCGATACGAAACGAGCCTTAAGCACGTAGGAAGCCTAATTAAATCTAATAATATCAGTCGCCGTTGCCAGTATCGACACACACACACGCGCG